ATTTTAAAATTAACAATATTTTCGTCATTTTATGACAACTTTAGAAATAATATGAAAAGTTTTACATCGAAATTATAAAGGGGAATAAATTTAAAGTGTAAAAACGAAATATTTTGCAATATTGCTTAAGGAAAAACTAGTTGCAATGATTTTTATTCCATACGCAGTTTGAAAGCTATTTATAGACTTTTTTCTCTAATTCTCATTCATTTCATTTTTTGCTTTTTAATTAATTTTAACAATAATTCGTTTTAACACTAAAAATACCAACACTTAACAATAAAATACAATACAATATCTAAACTGTATTTTGACCAATTATGATATGTTTAGTGTTATTTACACTAAAAAACAATTCCCTATAAAGCATTTGCATGGAACTTCATCGGGACTTGTTTGAAATATTAACCCTAGCTTTTGGGACTTCAATTTGGGATTTTTCGGTTTCTTCCTCTCCATACAAGGATAACCTAATAAAAACATTTATTTTGTCTGTTACTCAGACACACTGTTATCACAAGCAGGATTTTAAACTGTGGGAATCAAAAGGCACATATTAAGAAATTAATTTTCCGTACGTGCAAAAATGTGCGAAAAGAAAGACAGAAACTACTGTATGAAACGATGAATAAAAACTATTGAGTCCAAACAAGATGAATAAATTTCCAAAAAGAAATTAAAACAAAAAGCATCGGAGAGAGAGGGAAAAAAGTTCTGAATTCTCGTTACGGAAAGATAATTACGAACATTCTAATATTCATACTTGAAAGAAGCATCATTCATTGTATCTGATTTCATCGTAGACTGATTTAAATGAAGACTCTTCTAATTGCGACAGGAAAAAATTTTGTGGAGTGTATAATGAAGGGCCTAAAGGAGTTGGTAATCAAGTAATATTACTTCAGATATCTCTAAATTTAATACAATTGTTCCGGATAAAGGGTTGACTAAATGTAAACAAGGTCCATATACAATTTTTGAAAAAAAAATTGATGTTATTTACGAAATAAATAAAAAGAATGTTATAATAAAGAATATACAGAACTAGTTCATATATCAAAATTGCGAAGGTACCACTCACCTAACAAAGTAAAGTTATCTCAATAATAATATTAATCAATAATAATATCGAAAACAATAAATGCTCTAATTTAAATACTAATACGGTTTATTAATAAAAAAATCGAATTATTTTAAAATTTTTTTTACATTTGATGTGTATCTAAAATGTAATACTTTAATGGTTTTTCATTTTTATATGTGAAATTAAGTTAACTTTAAAAATAATATTGAATATGAGCTGTTAAAACATGGTTAGGACAAACTTGTTATCCGACCCTTCAAACTTCCTTAGAGTTTAGCGTTTACCGTTATCTGACAGAAAGATAAGGGGCGTTGTTCATTTTTCATTCTCTGTTTGTGGTCAACACAACAAAAATATAAATTTTTTATAGCATACTTCTTTTATTTGAAACTAGAATCCTCTGGCACAAAATTGATGAGATAAGAGACTGTTTTCCTCCTTTAGGAGATAACAGATCCTTAACCATCAAAATTTTTCCTAAAAATATTGAAGAATCACGACCACTGTGAACAATACTGAATATTGCATTTTTTTTTTCTTTAACAACATATGTCAACTGTCTTTTTATATTTCATATTTTTGAAATATTTGAATATCCATTATCCATTTTAATTGAAAAATTGATTTGGACTGTGCTATAATGAAAAATAATATTTCTTAATGAAAAGCATTTATTGTACACTCCAAACAAATGACTGTAGGAAAGTCATAAAAACTCTTAAAAATGACGATCAAGTTCTTCAATTTATTAGTAGCGCTACTATAGATTTGTTTTTCCACAACATTTTTATTGTGTTAAATTTTTAGCATGTTTTTTATCATTCATATTACTTTTATATATTAATTGCATGATAATATTACAAATTTAAGTCTTTTCATGTTAGTTATGCTTTTTCAAGGGGAAAGTGTTGCGAGTAAATTGCAATTTTTTTTCTTTAAATTTTTAGATGGTAATTGATATTTTGGAGAGGGAGATGTAACAAAAACTTTACGAAGTTTTATTATGTTATTTCTTTATCTGAATTAACACTTTAAATTTTTCCCTTATTCTACCGTGAGAACTGAAGAAATCCTTTGAACAAGTTATAAGACATTATAATTCCCTTTTTGTGTTAAGAGTTCGGACTTGTTTAAAAAAGTTTTCCATCAATCAATACCTCTGGGGTTACTGGATTGAAGATCGATCGTTCTCTGATTCAGGTCAAAATTACGATCTGTGGATAAATAAATGGATGTATGATTGGGGCCGCCCTACAAACGGGTGCGACGTCTGGTGTGGCGTAAGTCGCATTCTTGGCCATAGATGGCTCCACTAAAAAACAAGAAACAAACACTCTGCCTTAAAAATTCGCTCGTTTTCACCAAGCAAGCTTGCCCGTGTGGCAAGTGGCATTAGAAACAACAAGAACAAAAAAATTTCCTATCTTTTGAGAGTAAAGCGCTTCCATCTATGTGGCTTCTTGCTCTCCATATAATGTTTACATAATAAAAATTTCTGCTTTGCTTCTTTTTTATTATTTGCATCCTATAATTCATTAGAGTGAAACTCTACTAGCATTCAACTAACTAAAGGGTTGAATTTATTAACAAGTTCTAATTAAAATCTAAATATATTTAAATGAGCATTTTTAGAATAGCATTAAATAAAACGTTTCTGCACAGCTTATAAAAATATTATTTTAAAGAAGTGCTTCGAATAAAAACTATCATATTTATAAAAAATTAAAGAACAGTTATTTTTTCAATCAGTTTTGTCAAAAGTGAGAGGAACTAGCATAAATGTGATAACATATTTCAAAAGCTTTTATTTAATTTAAAAAATATGAGAAAGAGGCGTTTCAAATTTTGAAAAAAGAAACTTTTTGTTCGACATTTTATAATATCGTTTAACATTTTTCAAATCCCACTTTTCCTACAAGAGATTAAGGGCTGTCAAAATGGGATAAAAAAAGTAACGAATAGCTTATCTTATCACTATGTGATTCAACTTTAATAGACGTCTTTGAATCTAACAAATAGAACAGCTTTGAATATTTTTATAGTGAATCTTTTATGTAGTTCAGGTATCTATAAGGGTTTCTATAAGAATCATTAAATTTGCATGGTCGTGATATATATTGCAATGAGTTAGATTCTGAACATTTTTTGAAAATAAAGTTTGATGGAGTCTTGTACTTTTTTCGTATAAAAATAAAGAGACTTTAAAGTCAATGGAAAAAGTACAGCTTTAACAAGATATAATTCTCCGGAATGCGTTCTATTTGTTCAAAGTAGACAAAATAGAGCTACAAATAATTCTAATAATGTGTTATACATTCATAAAATAAAAATAATTAGTTCAAAAATTAACACTAATGGTATTTACATTTATTGAAAATGTAAAGCATCATTTGCATTTTTAGCTCATGCCTGATAGTGCATATAACATGCCTAACACATATAGCATACCAAATAGCTCTAATAGATTAGACATCATGATTTTCAGAAATTTTCAAATAGCTGATTAGGTGGTTTAATCGAAATACTGTATAGATTTGAATCGTTTAGTTGGAATAGTTTATTATATAAGTGGAAGTGATTGATAGAAACAATTATTTGCTTTCATTACACAGTCGAAAACCTTGTTTTCATTCATACTTTAAGAAAACTACTGATACATTTTTTTATTTATATCTGACATTTATATCTGCTCGTAATATCATACCTAAAATTATCATACCTATTGTTATAATCAAAAATTCATAATTTGTAGACCACAATTTTCAGCATTAAAAGTAATAGTTTATGCTTGAAATAATTTGAAATTAAAACCTAATAAAAACCAAAATAATTCTACGTAAGCTTTCCAAAAATATTCAGAAAAAGGAGAGCTTTCTTTATTCAAATTGCAGAGTTTTGTTTTAAATTTAATTCAATTCCTTTCAATATACAGCAGACAATTTGTTTCGAATGTTTATTTGTCAGTCAATGACATTAACAGAGGAAGCAAAATATTTTTCAAATAAAAAGAAAAGTCATTTCTTTTTTTCTTCATCTTCTTAATATAGGGTCTCATTTAGAACAATATAAATGGTACTCAAGCTCCAGAAGCAATACATTAAAAAAGTCTTAGAATAATTTAATTAATAAAATCTATTTGAAGACATAAATATGTACCAGAAAGCATTCATTTAATGCAGAACTTTCGATATCGAAATTATAAATCCCTAGAGTACATTTATAGTAAATTTTTATTTAGAAAGCATTAAGTTAAAAAAAAGTTGAAAACATAATTGAAAAAACTATGAAGAAAAAAAGAACCTACTTCCGCAATTAGGCTTAGGTTTTTCTTTCAGCTTCTATAAGAGTGAACTGCTTCTTTAAAAATTTATTTTAAAATTTAGAAATCTTTCTAATTATAAATGCAACTAGTGTTTAGGTAATTTTCATCAAGTTTGTGAATATTAACGCTATTAAATAAAACTATAATCAACTTTTATTTACCATACGAAATAGATTTTGGCTCTTTTTCTGTTATCGTTATCTTTAATATCATAAGAACAACTCTTTCAAAAATCATAAAAATCTTACCAATCCTATGTTTATTCTAGGTTGTCAATAGAAATACAAATTGATTACATTTTGGCTGTAGTATTCCTATAGCTTCAATAAAAAGTAAAAATTTTTGTAAATATCCACTGGGTGTTTCATTTTTCACAACGCGTTTCCTAATTAATGAGAATCGGATTTATATGATCTATTAATCAAACGAATCTTAATGTAAAAATGTCAAACAACCTCGAGGGGTAATCTAAAAAGATTACTTAAGAGACACGAAATATGCAATTATATTTTACTAATACGAGATGTAACTTTGCTTTTCGAAAAAGCGCACTTTTCAATTGTAAAATAATTTTTTAATTATTTATTTATTTAGGCTGAATTTAAAGATATCAACTTATCTGTGAATAGTGAAACAGGAGCCACTGTTAGTATGGTTGTAAACAGAAATGGAACTAAAGTTGTAAGGTAAGTATTTTTGTTAACAATTAACAAGTGTATTGCATTTGAGAAATGCGGTGTTCCTTTATTATTACCTAAATGTATAATTTTTGTAAATTCTTTTTAAAACTAAAAACAAATATAATTATTGATATTAGGGGCAGCTAATGGTGATTTTAAGTGAGAAAAAAACAAACAAAATCATTATCAAATTATTCGTCATCGAGGTTAATCATGGTATAAACAGAATTAGAAAAAAAGAGGTTTGTCCGAGGATTACTTTTTAACAAGTTTCATTCTCCTCAGATCATTAATTCTTGCATTTCTGTGAATGATCTCAGTCATGCCGAAATATGCATAGCATATTTCAAACATTTAAAAACAAAATTACATCCTCATTTAATCCTTTTCCAATAAATAAAAATCATTAATATAATCAATAATTTTTTTATACCACAACCTTGAATTGAGTGTAGAATAAAATTTATTTTTAGTGATTCCCTCTACATCTGTCTAAAACATTAGCATAGAATTCGAAATGGTTGCCAAACGTTTTGATTTCATTAAAATTCGCTATTATTTTTCACACTTTCTTTTCGCCAATACGTTTGAATGCGTAAGGCTAAGAAAAGGAGTCCTGGCATTAAATTTAATTAATTAATAGCCGATACACGGATTCTTTAACTTTCCTTGACGAAAACTACGTTAAATGACACTTGCATTTTTGATTTCTTGCTGGACGGATGTGTTCTGTGGAGCTTAGCCCTGCAGCCACACTCTGAGAGTTATTTTCCATATTTATAATTTGATAATGTATATTTATATTAAAAATTTAGATTAATCTTTATTTAGAGCTTCACATATATTTCAAAAATAAAGCATTTTTATTTATTACAATTTGATTCTTTATCAAGCAATTTATGGTTTTTGTTAAATAATTGTTTGCGTACATGACTCCGGAATAAAATATGGACAATTGGAAATACGCCAATCAACATCTTTAACTTATGGTTAAAACATCACTCAACTTCTACGACGGAATTTTTACATTATCATCTAGCATCTGCAACAAATAATAATTTCTTGAAGCATCAAAACTTTCCTGGATAAAACAACTTCTTAGATTATGATTATCTGCTTTTAACTTAAACTTCAATTTACGGTTCGCAATGTGTACATTTTTGATGCCAGTTTTAGCAAATATTCTAAAAATATATATTAAAAGTGAGTAATACCCTATTTATTTATAACACGTATGCTCACAAAATATAATGTTATGTTTAAATAGGAAAAAGTGTAAAATGTGTTCAGATGAATTTTCTACATTCTTTCTAAAGAATCCAAGTTTTAAATGAAGACAGAAAATGCTATTTTTACTGAGAAATATGTAGATTAGAAATAAATGTTACAAAATATTTTTTTAAAACGATTTTTGTATTTTTTGCATATCAAAGAATATTTTTATGGTTTATTTCTTTACATTTTAGTCTTGACTAAAAACCTACTAGACTCAATTAATACGATATTTATACGCTGTGAAACTAGTTAAAAAAGATTAATTGAAGTAGATTTCTTACCTTTTTCTATAATTTTTCATTAAACAATTATAAAAAATCAAAATTGTATTACTTAAAACGACCCATGAGGGTGAATCTAATTATATTTTTACATAGACAGTCACTGTGTGAAGTCACACAAATAGAACAAAAATATTAATTTCCTAAAAAATTAGTTCGTACCAAACGTTATTCAATGTACTGGGCACTAGGGCTCTGAGGTTAACCGACTTTTAGAAAATATTTGTCTCCAAATAAAAAATAAAAGTTCAGTAATAGATACGAGTTATGTGGAATACAAATATTGAAAATCAAACTGTGATACGTAATAATAATTTATTCCTCTTACAGTTTCAAAAAGGAAATATAAAAAAAAACTCAGTTCAGAGAGAACTGATAGCGAAAGTAAACAAAGCCATTAGACATTAGCATTACTTTTGGCCTCATCGACGCCAATGTTTTGACAAGAAGCCCTAATCTGACCAATGATAAGTAAAAAAATACCACTAACTCAGCGAAAATCCGGCAGATGTAGGGATTTGTTGGCAATAAGCTGCAGACTTTTATTTTTACTTCCACTATCAGCTATCGCTATAGCGGCAATGAATGGAAACTCATGAAAAATTCCAAAAATTTAATTTATTTAGCTTTCCTAATCTAAATGAGTTGGGGTTTTTTTTAGTTGATCTAAAAGAAAGTTTACAAGACAAGGATGATTTTACAGAGGGCTGTTTTCAAAACGGCAATGATTTTATTAACACAATAATGGCTTATCTGTACATACCAAAAAATAATATTGAATTCAAACAAAAAGAAAAAAAAGGTTTTTGAATCCTGCAACACTTTTATTTTAAAAAAACATATATAATTTATTTTAAATGCTTTTTTTATAATAAATCTTTTATTGTCAATATCATAATAAAATTTCTCAAAAGCGTTCTGAGATTCTTTTATATGGTGATCTCTAAATGAGAATTTTTAAAGCAAAAAGTTTTAAAAATCTTCCATTTTTCAAAGAAAGGAAGTCAAATTTGTTAATAGTTACAGCTCTTCGCCGTTCAAACTTTAAATTTTTCTATCTTTTGGTATTTCTTGGAGTTTGGTACTTTTTCGTATATCTGGGAGCACAAATGATAATATTTCGTACAAAAAGGAAAAATAAAATAAAAAAAACTTCGAAAACATGGTTCCTTTAAGACAATACTTTGTTGAAAAGGCTAACAGAGAAATAAAAGGTTATTTTCTACTTTTTTCAGCTATTACGGAATCAAAATTTTGAAAGCTAGTGAAGCTTAAAAAGTACGTTGTGATTAGAAAGCATGCCCCATTAACTTCTGTATAGTTAAAACCATCATTTGGAAGAACAGAGATCCCGTTAATTGTCGTTATTATAAAAATATATGGAAATGGTCTTAATATGTTTGTGTATAGTGCGCCAAGAAAAATGGACTACCCTGAATAACTTTTGATTTAATGATCAGATCTTCACGTTCTAGGGACTCAATCTTATGGTTAGTGGGGTTGACCTCAAATATGCTAATTAATAAGAACAGACGATATTTTAAGTTACGAAATCATACACAAAAACGTATTTTGTCTGAAAGAACATACCTTTTTTTCGACGGATTCATAATTTAGACTTCCAAAATATAGGGGCATAGACAGAAAATAACTTTTCGCTAATATTAGTTATTTCTTATTATTTTATTTAATAATGATGGAAAATATTTTGAATTGCAAGAAACAGAATTTCTTACATATTCTTAAAGAATCTAATTCTTCTTGGCAAAATACTAAATTTGAGTGAAATGGGTCGAGTACTTCCTGAGAAATCGAATTTTAAGTTCCTGACTTTTTTGAAATTTAATTTTTCAGAAACTATTCGACAGATTTTACTCAAATTTTTTATTTTGCCATGCAAAACTAAATTATTTTAAAAAAATGTAAAAAATTGTATACCTTACATTTCAAATTATTTCCGGTCATTAATATATAAAATAATAAAATATAATAAATAGTTATTTGTAGCGTGGAAATTACCTTTAGATAAACTGAAAAAATTCAATGCACCTAAAAGTTCTCGAGATTTAGCGAAATACGCAAAAAGTAAAATTAACATTAAGGGACCAAATTTTAAGACGCTCTCCTGATCAAACTATGGGGACCATAGTTTGATCGGATACCTCCCAGATTCGGATACCTCCTATATTTCAAGGGTCCGAAATCCGAATCCCTTGCTAAAAAGATATGTTCCTTGCTAAAAGATTCAGCTAAAGTAGGTTTTAGTGCCTGATTTCGTAACTTAAAATATCGTCTACACTAATTAATAAGCATATTTGAGGTCACCCCTTGAACTATAACCAACTAGAAGATCTGATCGGTAGATCAAAAGTTATTCAGGGTGGTCCATTTTTCGTTTCTTTTCGCTCATTGTACATATCTTCACACAATCGGTAAGTAATATTTGAGATATCTTAACTTTAATTTTTAAAATACAGTTTTTGTATCTGTTTAATATTTATGTATAAAGATACGAGTGTTTCGTTTATTTGTAGATCATTTCGGCCTGACTTTTTATTAATTCGCCAACATATACGAGATGCTGGTCACGATGACTACCGAAATCTTTTACTAGGATTTAAATATGGTGGTGTACCTAGTGTTAATTCATTACACAGCCTCTATAATTTTCAAGATAAGCCTTGGGTGGTAAGTTCTTCATTTATAAATTCTTATTAAAAAATAGTCCGTAATTTTATTATATTATGTGCAAAGCAATCTAGTTCTGCTAGTGGAAAACTATGTGAAACCTGCTGTACTAGGTAACCATAGCATCATGCGAAACTTGTAAAACAAAATCAGTCATTTTATTTATTTATTTATTTCTTTTCTTTTTTTTTTTGTCGTACTGCACGTCAGATCTTGTTCGAAAATTCGTAATCGAGCAAATACAAATTATGGTGATTGGTAGGCTAATTAAGGTTTAAAGCTATTGGGGTTATTATCATTAATTAAGAAGCCGCTACCATGGAAAAATCTTAAATTTTGCTTAGTTTAGGAAAAAGTTTAGAGAGAAGTGAGTTAACTAAACCTAGAGTAAGCCATGAAGCCTAAAAATGCTTTCGAAATTACAAAAAGCAAACAAATTATGGCTTCTATACTGAGTAATTTTCTCAAAATTTGCTTGCAGTTTGATATTTTGCGCGTTTATACAGCATTTAGTGTTACTAATGGATAAAGGACAAATGTATCCAAAATCTAATAAGAATCATATCTTTATTTTTAAAGCATCTTTCAAACTTATTAGATATTTATTATCTTCATTTTTAAATCATCTTTTAAAAATTTATTATAAATGAAAATTTTAAATTCTGTTTCACAATCTTTAAAGTAAAGTAACTTTTTAAGCATAAAAATGTGTGCTTATGTACTTTAGCGTTTATGTTTATTTTTATCCTCTAAAATGTGCTAATATATTTTTCTCAACTTTTTTCGGCAAATGCATCATCTTTAAAAATGCAATTTGTATACATCATTAAAGAACACAATTTATATACATTATTCTGACAGATTTATTTTCAAAAGCGCAAGAAAAATTACTGTAAATCGAAATTACTATAATAATCAAAATTTTAAATTCTGTTTCACAATTTTTAAAGTAAAGTAAGTTTTTTAAAGCATTAAAATGTGTGCTATGTACATTAGAGTTTGTGTTTCCTTCTCTAAAATGTGGTAATATATTTTTTGGACTTTTTTTTTGTGTGTTGGGGGGGGATGTATCTTCTTTTAAAATGCAAAATTCAGATATATTATTCAGACAAATTTATTTTCAAAAGAGCAAGAGTTAAAGCTAAAGATTAATCATGTTTCGCTAAGCTAGAGGTATAAATATTAGATACTCAATGTAATAAAATAACGGAAACTATTGCTGACACAGAAAGAAAGGCAGCGAATAAAAGGAAGAAAGGTTCATTTTATTTTTCCATTGTATTCACCCGTATTTTTTGAAGATAACGAAGATCTATTGACTGCTCTATTGATTTAGCGAAATAAATTCTGCACTTTTAGCTGAGCATATGCTTAATCCCCGAAATTTGAATGTTTTTAAAATGTTCTTCCATAAAACTCTTCACTTCTTCTACAGCCCAATTTTCGCCAAGCTACTAAAAATAAAATTTATTTCCGTAAACTCAACATCCTTAATTATACTTAAGTATGAACATTATGGTCAAACATTTTATTTTAAAACCTGCATAATGGCTACTTAAAAAGCAGGAAATAAATGAGGCATCATTTCAGCAAGACGAAGTAAAAGCATTATGAAATAAATCTTACTGATGATGTCTTATATATCGGACAGAATTTCTTTCCAGAATATGCTCTTAGGTCAGAATCCGGAATACATCCTTCTATCCTGACCTACTTTTTCGAATGATATTGCAGCTTTGCTGAAAACATTAATCTTTTTCCTATACCTCATTTATGCCAAGTTAAATAAATGAGTTTATTAATTTTTCAACTTAGTTTAATTTTATCAAGTTAGATTTTAAATCTATTCAGAAAGCATTTAAATATGATTTTAAAGAATCGTTTAAGCAAACTAAATTTTTAGTAAGTGAATTGTACACTTCTACATTTTTAGAAGAAGTCATAATGTACTTTTATAATCAAGTTTTAAATAGTTAAAAAGTATTTTTAGAGGGCCTTTCCGATGTAAAATAATTGCTTCAATAAAGAAATAATCCGACAGGAAAAAACACCTCATTTTTTATATTTTTATTTTTAAAAAAAATTATAAATTAAGTATATTTTTTAAATCAATATCGTCTCTCCCCCTGTTCTAGTGGTTTTCGAACTAGCTGAGTCACTCGTCAGTGAGTTTTTAAGTCTATATATAACTCAAAATGTGTGTTTACGAAGATGGGTACAGCTTGAAATGCGTGTTTAAGAAAATGAACATAATTCAAAATGCGTGTTTACGAAAATCTACCCAGCTCGAAATGCGTGTTTCTGAAAATGGACACAGATATTTAAGAAAATAGACATGACATGGCTTTTTTTAGACTTATTTTATGAGCATATATAATCATAAAATACGCAGGATTACTTCCTTATTGAGTAATCCTGCGTAATTTGACTGCATTTTGATCATTTGGAAAAAAAAAATCATGACTATGAAACTTCATAGTTCACTCTAGGCTTGAACTCACTTTTTCAATACTTTAAACTAATTTAATGGAGTTTAAGGAGAATTTGCCGTGAAAGGTTTCTCACAAGGACCTCAACAAATTTTTGAATACTAGGTGGTAACTTTGGAAAGTATTTACCCGTGTACACAGAATTTAGTACAGTTTTACTTCATTTATTTATTTTAAAATTTTACTCCACCCCCTTACAATAAATCGACTCCCCCAAGTGGTCCAAGAATAAGAACCTCTAACCCTATACAATTTTTATTTTACTGTTACTAACTATATTAAAATTCTGAAGCTTTTACTTATGTTAATATTCAATCAATGATTCAAAAAGGGAAATTTTGTTATCTTGCACGATCTTAAAACATTTTTTATTTTTTTTCAAGAAATTAAATGAAATATAGGCACTTTTTTGTAAGCCGGGCGCAAGCAAAAAAGTGCCAAAAAATAAAGAACTCCACCAACTTTTTATTTCATTTTTATTTGTGTTACTTTTTTTAAACCTTATTTATTCCTTTAAATTCTGAACAAAATGGACGTTCAGAAAAGATTAGATAAAATAAAAAAAAAATTTAAGAAAAATTATAGTAAGAAATAGAATTTTCTTGACCCTTTAAAAATGCACGTATTAGAAAATTATAATTATTTTTTTTTTAATTATTTATTAAAAACTGACTTTAAAATAGAGCAACTTAGGACAAATTAAAAATTAATTAAAAAAACAATTTAAAATTATTACAAACTGACGATCTTCCTATCTTGTTGATGATCAGTTCCATAATACTTTTGAAAAAAGTATTACTGTTATTAAAAATATATTATTGCGCGGAATATTGTTAAATTCCATTGTTTCGAAATGAATCATGGAAAAAAAATATTACTGATCAAATCAAATATGCATCATATTTTAAAGAGATTAAAACCAAATTCTATAGATATTTTTTTTTTTTATTTATAAAAATATAATGCAACAATGTTTCTTTCAAACTTTTTTCTAGCATACAAATTTTAAACTCTGATTCTACAAATAGAAATAAGTGATCTAAGAAATGAACTTTACGTTTTTGTTTTGTATTTCTCCAAACCACTAATAGATCGCGACACTAGCAAATTTATTTTGAAAAGTTGGCCCTACTGTCATGATTTCGTTGATTATTTTACTTATCATAGAAGACAAGATTATTTTAAAACTCAACAGATGTTAGTTGTTTATTTACACTTAAGAACACTACTTAATACAATATTTTTTTGTTAGAATTCATACTTAATCTAAAATTCTTGATTTTTAGCGTCAAGCAAAACTTTATAAGTGTTCAAATGATCGACATCATACTAAATTTTATTTTTTTTATAGGATTTATATTATTTTTATTTACCCGAGTAGTTATCAAAATTTTTAAGGCCTTTAATTTTAAGCATTGACTAAAATTAAAAAGAAAATTCTTTATTTTCGTTTTGTTCATGTACTTTATAATAACAGCAAAGATTTTTTCTCGTAAATTGTTTAGCGTTTTTTAAAAACTAGATGGCAGCACTATAAATTGAACAAAACGGAACTTTTATGCTATTTACATTTTTCGTGATGTTTCTTTTCCATCACTTATTTTCTTTTCTTCATTACATCTTTTCGTTATTTAATTTTAAAAAAAAATGTCTTAATCCAGAATTAAAAAATAAATAAGCAAAGTTTAAACTAATAAACAGAATATTCAAGAAAGTTGCACAAAAGTTGAAAATTAATTAGTCAGAGAGTCAAAAGAGTCTATTCTTTACATTCCAAATATTATAACTAACACATTTTTTATTTACATATTTGTGACATATTACATCTAAAGTGTGTTGAGTAGGACATAATTTTGCTGTCATAGCAACGAGTTTGCGAAAAATAGTTCTCGAGATTAAAATATTTCTTCTGAAAAATCTCTACATAATAATAAAAAGGTTTCTATTACATCTCGTAAATTAATGGTCAATAATTCGAATCTTTCAAAAAAAATGGCCAATAATTCGAATTATTGGCCATAATGGCGATCCAATAATTCGAATCTTTTTGCATGTACGATGCGAGCAAATAAATAAATAAATAAATAAATAGACCACCCTGAATAACTTTTGATCAATAGATTGGATCTTCACATTCTAGGATTCAGATTAACAAAGTACAGACGTTATTTTAGCTAACATAATTAGCCACAAAAATTTACTTTCTCCGAATAAACATAGTTTTTGTTTTCGACAGATTCGGATTTCTGACCCCCCTAAAATAGGGGATAGCAGCAATCTAGAAAATATGGTCCCAGTAGTTCAGTCAAGAGAGCTGTTGAAAGTTAGACGGCTCACTGTTAGTTTTACTTTTTGTATATTTCACCCTAATTCGAGAGATTTTAAAGCGAATTGAAAAATCTTTTGCACACATTTTTGAAACTCTTAAAACTTGAATTTGATTTTCTTAAATACTTATATTTAACATTTCCTTTTAGTTTTCACAGTTGCTTCACATGCAAAGAAGGTTAGGTAAAGAAAATTTTCCTCTAATTGAACAGTCGTATTTTCCAAATCATAAGGAAATGGTAAGTCATTTTTATAACTTCTTTTTTAATATACATTACATTTCCTTCCAGAAATTGTACAATAAAGTTTCATTCATGGAATTTACAATGCTTTAAATACTTTCTTAACAAGACAACTTCCAAACAATAATAATTATTGAAAGGTTATTAAAATGTCTCGACATTTATTTGGAATATTATAAGTGGCGGCTTACTTTCAAAATTTATATTTTCTTAAAACTATTTATAAATACTTCTTTGGACTGTTTTTCTTATTTTTTTTATATTACATAAAAGCTGAATTTTCTTCGCTATGAATCAATTTATAGAGCAACAGAAATAAATGTAATTTATTGGCCTGTTTATGCCTGTTACTGACACAATTCTACAATACAGATTGCAATTCGCCATCTCGCGAATTACGTCAACGTGCCATTCATTCGTGCTGAAATTCAAATTCTTACATTCAAGTTTGTTACGTAGTTTTCTATTTTTAGAAAAGAAAAAAAAAACTCTTTGACGCAGATTGGCCACCGGTATGCCTTATATATATATTTCTTTTTTCTGGAACTTTAGTTACAAGTAAAAATATATTTCGGTATTTTTTAGTTATAAAAAAACAGTCTAATAATTACTAAAAACAATCTGTTAGACGATAAGAATTATATCTGTACTAAAATATAAAATTCAAAAAAAGTACTGTGAAAAAAAAAAGTTTTTTTCATCCATAGTAAAAAATTTATCAATAATTGGTTTTGCAAATAAATTAATTGAATTACAATGATAAATAACTGTTTCCCTTTAGATCTAAATAACTAACTGATCTAAATATTAAGTGAAATTTGAAAAATTTCTATTCGGAAATGAGCCGTGTTTGGAAGATTTTACCTTGTTGTTGTTGCTGTTAAGGCGGAGGTATGTGATTGTTCTTGTTTTCCAGTGGCGCCATCTATGGCCAAGAAATCAACTTCTGCCACACCAATACGTCACACCCGTTTATAGGGCAGACCCATTCATACATCCACAGATCATAATTTTGACCTGAATCAGAAAACGATTATCTCCAATTCAGTGCCCCCAGAGGTATTGATTTGGTATGGAAACATGGAGGACATTGCGACTCAACAGATTTAACGTGCATCAGTCACCATTTTACTACACGGGGAGTCTTCGGCCGACGGGGTTATGGGCCCAGCGCCCTACCGACTAGGCTATCCCGGCCCAGTAGATTTTACCTTAAACGCAGAAAATGACACTGGAGTTTCATGCTGTATTTCATAACCAAAAATTATGAAATTGCTAAATATAATATTTTTCACTTATTTTGACCTAAATTAATTCAAAATAATGAAAAAATTATGATTAATGTGTTTAATAAAAACTCTTAAGACAAAGACATTAGAAAAATCAAATGGAACTGTCTAATAATTTACAATTACAATAATTTACAGTTACAATTTAGTATAGCAAAGTAAACGTGTATATATGTACATATACGAAGACTGCTCAAATTTAGGACTATATATAATGTTTACGAAGACTGCATGTTTCACCACATATTTGACGATTTTAATATAACAGTACAGAAGTGAAATACATAAAAAATATTTTCGAACACAATACCTTGAATGCAAAGAGTGTATTTTTTGACAAAAACGCTCATTTCTAAGGGCCACTTATCTTTGAAAAAATTTACTACGTTATCAAGTTATTTTTTATAAATCACAAAAAGAAGCCTTCAAATTTAGACGACCGTTAGAATAGTAGTCTTTCCAATTCAGAGAAGTGTGACAATTGTAGGCATTCAAGTTATTATTTATGCATTCTGAGTTTTTTCCTCAAATAAAAACATTCAAGCAATACCGCAACATAAAGGTTATTTTTTTCTAGTTGGGGAACTTTTTTTTTTTAATCTTATGTCACTTGTGAGTGTCAAATTGACGAAGTGCATTTTCTTTTGTGGTGCGCGTAGTTTATTGCGAAACGTCTAATTTAGCTTCTCTAAAGCAGGAATATTTGAAATTCAATTCTAATGTAAACTAAGGAATAAAATTTATATCCAATTTGCTATCTATAAAATTTTTATGCTGCAATTTTGTTTTACGATAATTGCATACTATAATGATGATAAATGTAAATGACAGCAATTTTGAAAACAAATTTTCAAAATAAGCAAACCGAACTATTTTTTTCGCAGTTACAAAATAAAGCAAGTTAAGCTTTGTCTGAATAGTAAGCTTTAATACATTTAATTGTACAATGATCACCGAAGAAATAAATTCGTCTTAACACGAAAAATTAAGGATTTGTTCCCCAAAATGCAAACCGTTTCTAAAAGTAGGAGGTTCAATAATTGAAAAATTGTATCAGATAAAAAGGAATATAAAAAAGGAGTTTTTCGATCTTGAAAATTTATATATATATATATATATATAAAAAAACAGTCTAATAATTACTAAAAATTCTCAAAATCTGTTAGATTATCGGAATTATATTTGGACTAAAATATAAAATACCAAAAAATAGTAATTTGAATAAAAAATTAATAGTTTAAAGAAATTTTAATAATGAATAACTGCTTCTCTTAGATCTAAATAACTCCAAATAAGTGAAAATTTTAAATATTATTGTTTGGCGGTGATCCATCCGTGTTTGGAAGATATTTCCTTTAACGCAAAAAAGACATTAATGATTCAGGCTATATCTCATAACTTTAGATTATTAAAATGCTGAAAATAATGTTTTTCACTTATTTTGACTTAAATTAATACAAAATAACGAAAAAAGTAGAAAAAATATGTTTAATAAAAATTCTGTGTCAAAGGGTTATAAATAGATATTTTTCAAATTTCAATAGAAAATAAAGAAAGATGAAAATTTCTGTTGCATGGAATTTTTTAAGTAATTACGAATTACGAAAATTATAAATAACTATAAAGAATGTATTTTCAGTTCGTTAATGCCTAACTTGCAGAGAGTTTCGACTAATAAAATATATGCAAGAACACAGAATTAAAATGTACTAACATATAGTTAANGTTAGCCGCTTTTTACATGTATTATTTCGTACATTGAGCGGGTTTATTAAATTCTCTTTATCATTGAACTTTAAAAAAAAATTGACAAACATAGTTTGGTTGTGCTAAAGATAATCCTTTTTTGTGTGGATTTTCTGTTATTTCTATGGATTTTAGTTCCAACTGCAAGAAATCGCGGAAAGTTATTGAAAATAACAAAAAGGTCAATTTCTAGCTTTTTCTTAATTATTCCTGTTAATATTTTTTGCATTTGTGAACCTCATATTTTCAGTTATATTTTAAGATTTAGAGACAAATCCTTAATGTTTTTTCCTGAGAAGATTTATTGCAGAATATATATGGAAACTGGTTTATTTTCATAGGTATAATATTCTGAATCCCTTAATTTTTATTATATCAACAAACTTTTAAGTGATTTTATACTTTTGATTATTGTCTGAAAATGAAAGACGTAATAAAATGCTTTAATTTTATAAATTCATTTTTTAATGAAAGTTTTAATTCTACAGAACAAAGCATTATTTGTACTTTAAAAACAAAATGTAAAACGGAAGCAATTTATATTGAAACTTTACTTGTTTACTCTAGAATTACTCTATGAAGAAAAAATGTGTTGTAAATTAATAAAGGTGTCCAAGTGTTAGCTTTTGTCTGAGAATTTGTGTAGTTACTGTGATATGTCTTTAAAACGAAAGAAAGTTTACAATTCATATGATTTTTCTTGAACTGTGGCTTTTACGCTTTACTGACTTCATGTTGTTAAGGAATGTAACGTTTTCATACATACCATTCATTTTATTCTTATGTAAATAAAGGTTTTTTATAATCGAATTTTCTTTGCCGTCAATTTACTTGTTAATTTTATTTTAATCGAGCAGACCACTAGGGTAAGTATGAATATTAATCCTATTATTAAAGCTGGTCAATACAAAATCATATTTTAAAAGAACTAGAAACTGAATTTAATTCCTGCATGCAGGCATGCAGAGAGTTCTGCCATCTACAACTACTATAAGATATATATATATATATATATATATATATCTTATAGTAGTTGTAGATGGCAGAACTCTCTGCATGCCTGCATGCAGGAATTAAATTCAGTTTCTAGTTCTTTTAAAATATGATTTTGTATTGACCAGCTTTAATAATAGGATTAATATTCATACTTACCCTAGTGGTCTGCTCGATTAAAATAAAATTAACAAGTAAATTGACGGCAAAGAAAATTCGATTATAAAAAACCTTTATTTACATAAGAATAAAATGAATGGTATGTATGAAAACGTTACATTCCTTAACAACATGAAGTCAGTAAAGCGTAAAAGCCACAGTTCAAGAAAAATCATATGAATTGTAAACTTTCTTTCGTTTTAAAGACATATCACAGTAACTACACAAATTCTCAGACAAAAGCTAACACTTGGACACCTTTATTAATTTACAACACATTTTTTCTTCATAGAGTAATTCTAGAGTAAACAAGTAAAGTTTCAATATAAATTGCTTCCGTTTTACATTTTGTTTTTAAAGTACAAATAATGCTTTGTTCTGTAGAATTAAAACTTTCATTAAAAAATGAATTTATAAAATTAAAGCATTTTATTACGTCTTTCATTTTCAGACAATAATCAAAAGTATAAAATCACTTAAAAGTTTGTTGATATAATAAAAATTAAGGGATTCAGAATATTATACCTATGAAAATAAACCAGTTTCCATATATATTCTGCAATAAATCTTCTCAGGAAAAAACATTAAGGATTTGTCTCTAAATCTTAAAATATAACTGAAAATATGAGGTTCACAAATGCAAAAAATATTAACAGGAATAATTAAGAAAAAGCTAGAAATTGACCTTTTTGTTATTTTCAAAAACTTTCCGCGATTTCTTGCAGTTGGAACTAAAATCCATAGAAATAACAGAAAATCCACACAAAAAAGGATTATCTTTAGCACAACCAAACTATGTTTGTCAATTTTTTTTTAAAGTTCAATGATAAAGAGAATTTAATAAACCCGCTCAATGTACGAAATAATACATGTAAAAAGCGGCTAACCCCGTTTCTTTAATATACCGTTTCTATTGTACTCACAACTTATAACTTTCTCTGCTACATACTCAGTAATATTTTAGTGTTTAAATTAAAATAATCTGCAATAATATTATCTGCTTCTAATATTTCAATTCGTACAGAATAAATAAAATTTTGGATACATAACATACAAGGTTTAAATAAATAGATATTTTAAATTTTTGCTTTGAACTTTATTTAATAAATTTAAAAAAAATTTTTTAAAAATTTTCTAAATAATATTGATCTTGCCTTGCATGTCTGTGGGGTATGACGCTACGAGATTTTTAGGTTATCCCATTTATAGGTGGTTTATACCAAATGAGTTTCAGTTCTGTCATTTCCAAGTTAAAATCGATCCTCTCTCCATATTCTTTTTTTAAAAGAAGAAAAAGAAACTCCTGAATAAAATGTACTAAATAAGTTGTCTGTACTCGCTGTCTCAGAACTTCTTCGTTTTTCTTGAAAAAAATTTTTTTAAATGTAAGTTCGTTTTGAAAATACAAGTTTTTCAGGATTATTATTTTAAAACGCCATTTTATAGATTTGGCATCGTCTCACAGCAAAATTTTGCGCAAACTTTACTCACATTCTCCAGAAACTCATTTAGAGAGAATACCTCTAGACAAATGATTATAATATAAATATTAAATTAAAAGACATAAATATCGAAATACTTCAAAGTTGGAATACAATGAAGATGCTAAACTAGGCAATACGCTTGCACAGTTTTTTCAATTTTGGCACCAAAAATAATATGTTTATGGTATGAAGATTTTTGAGTCTATTTAAATCGATAAATAAATCAAAGCTAAATTTTCTCCATAAATACATTTTGAAGATTAAGAAAGCTATGATTCATTAGCTTTTAAACATCTATCTATGTTAGCATCTGCAAATATATAAACGCATTTCTATAACTAAATGAAATCTGAATAGTTAATTGAAGCAACGGTTGTTAAATTTAAGATATTAAGTGTTCTGTTTTCTCTTTATTTAAGATGAAAGCTGATTGTGCTTACACTTTTAATAGGAATAAAAGCATTTTATAAATACTTTGATTTTTAATTTAATGAAAATGAAAAGAAACAAATTCCAGCTTTGAGATATAACAAATATTTTCAAGGTATTTGTATAATTATACAAACTGACAATACATATAAAAACGTAACAAAAAATAAGCCTGTACATATGTATACATACAATAATAGTACACCTATTCATATTTAAAGGTATAATAACATCCATCATCTGTACCTTTTTAATCGAGCCATCGATTCAATTTTAAAGTTAACTCATAATGTACGGTGCACAAAAAAAAAAAAAAAAAAAACGGACCACCCTAAATAACTTTTGATCTAATGATTGGATCTTCACGTTCCAGTACTCAATCTTAATGGTTCAAGGGGGTGACTTCAAATAAGTTAATTAGTTAGGGCAGACGATATTTTAAGTTACGAAATCAAACGCAAAAACGTACTTTCTCTGAATAAACGTGCCTTTTTCGCACCGAATTTCTGACCCTTTAACTATAGCAGGTAGCCGCAATATGGAAAATATGGTCCCCATAGTTTGGTCTGGAAAGCGCTCCAAAGTTTAGACCCCTTAATGTTAATTTTACTTTTTATAAATTTTAAAAATTATTTCTAATTTCCTAGTAATTTATTAAGTAATAGTGGAAAAGTTTTGAATTGAAAGTTATACAATTTTTTATTTCTTTTTAAAGTATGTAATTTTACATAGCAAAGCATAAAATTTGAGTGAAATCGGTTAACTAGTTCTTGAGAAATTGAATTTTAAATATATGACATTTTTGAAACTCAATTTCTCAGGAACTATTCAACAGATTTTGTTCAAATTTTGCATTTTGCCATATAAAGTTATTTTCTTTAAATTGTATACCTCACAATTCAAAATTTTTTAGACCATTCTTAAATTAAATAATAAAAAATAATAAATCTTTACTAAAAGTTATTTTTTCCACGGAATTATCTTTAGATAAACGATTTCTATAATTATGTGCAAAATGCTTTCGAATCATTTAAAATACACAAAAAGTAAAATAAACATTAAGGGGTCCAAACTATTGTGACCATATTTTCCAAATTGCGGCTATCCCCTATATTTTGGTGGTCAAAAATCTGAGTTCGTAAAAAAAAAAAGGTATGTTTATTTAGAGAAAGTTTATTTTTTTGCCTGATTTCGTAGCTTAAAACATCGCCTGTACCTTTTAATCAACATATTTGAGGTCATCCATTCGAGTCATTAAGATTGAGTCCTAGAATGCGAAGATCAGATCGTTAAATATAAAGTTATCCAGGGTGGTCCATTTTTTTTTCTTGGCTCACTGTACATTATACTAGCATCAAATTAGAAAAAGATTATATATATATTTGTAATATATATCAAATATATTATTATATTGACATTAATTTTTAATGGTATCATATTAGTTTTATTAAATGATACTTTATACATGCAGCGGTTATTAATAGTTTTTATGTAGGCTGGAACTCAATAAAATATGTCGATTAATTGCCAAGACTAACATATATTTTTGGCAAGAAGTCTAAAACTTAATGATTAATTGTAAAACATAAACTAGAAAACCCACATAATTATGTTAATATTTTTTAAAAAGAGGCATTTTATTCAGAAAATCACATTATTCAATTTAAAGTCATATTATTCAATATCTCACTTCACATTCCAAAAGAAAAGTCTCCATAAATTTTTAAATTTGATTTTCAGCGACAAAAAAAAAATAATGAATAAATGAATAAAAATTTATTATTTTGAATATTGTTATATAAGAACAAATAAGATAAAATATTTTGTTCGGTATAAATTAACACTAGAAGTATATTTGAAAATGTTTACAAACTGCTAATTATTGCCTATGACGGCATAGAGTTAAAAAAAAATAGGAAAATCAGTTTTAAATTTTCAAATATAATAAATTTCTTCAGGCAAAATTTTAACTATTTTTCTTCGAAAAAAAATTACTATAAGTTAGATTTTATAATAAAACAAGTTTAAGCGAACAAATTGTTAGTTTTAAGTAGAAATGGAAATCTGTAATAATTATACTCGTCAATGAAAAAAAAAGTTGGCACTTAGAATAATAAAATTTTAAAAATTGCCAGTGCTCTTGCATGAATTTAAGAATCCATAAAATAACATAATTTTCTCTGAAATCGTAAAATCGTTAATATTTTCGTAATTTTGAAGTTAAATCACGATTTTTTTAATTTTTTTTTATATCCTTAAAATGTTGGCATAATTCGTCATTCATAACATCAATACATAATAGTGCGTACATAGAAAATAATTAAAAAAAATAATAAAACCATATTTACAAAGAAACAAGTAAGAAAACTTGGGTATTCCACCCGTAAACAAATATTACAATAACAATGAAAACTTGCAAGAAAAATTAAGTTATAGTTTTTTTGAAATACTGAATCCATCTTTCACACTAGGACGCACAAAACATAACCAATACTATATAAAATCTTAGAGGAAACACCAAATTATGAAACAAAAACATAAATTTATACTTACATTTTCTTTAAGAAATATGTTAAAATTAGGTTTAATGCTGCATGAAATTTAAAGTAGTGCTTGAGAATTAACTATGTTATTACCGATTAAGCAAAAATGTTTTATTTAAATATTGCCTTGCTTTTTACCAAAATGTACTTATTCGAAAAAAAACAATTGTTTTAAATTTTAAAATTAAAAAGGACAAAAATATGTCGCTAAAAATTGTAGATAAAAAATTATTAATGGATTTCTAATACTTAAATGCAGTTTAATACTTAAAAAATTAATATTCCTCAAATCAAGTTTAAATTTAAAATGAAAAATAGAATTATTAATAATAAAAAAAATTTTAGATGGATAGAAGTACTCTGTTTCGTACTTTTTCTTGCTTAAAAAACATAAATTATCAGCTAAAAAGAATTATGACACATACAATTTTATTAACATTTCAAAGTTAAAAATGAAAACGTTTTCAATAAATTATCGCTAAAAATTATTTTTCATTAAAAGCGGTAAAAAAAAAAAAATTTTTTTTTACACATTTCTCTTAGAAAATGGAACTACAAAATGTGTTTCTATAGTAACGCAGAAGAAATTCAAATGTAAGAGACTGAAAAATGATAATTATTAAATAAAGATAAAAATGAAAGTCTCTAAGAGGAATGAAAGTGAAAATTAAATATCAGATCTACTACAAAATGTTTAAGGTTCATATTTTCTTTCTTTCATGCATCGACGATATTGGGAAGTGCTCACCCATGAACATGCTTCAGTCTCATTATGGTATTGGGCAGAACACAAAGAATACAGACTTTGACAATCATTTTTAGCCTGATAAGTGTCCCATAAACAATAAGGTTCACGCCGATTTTTAACAAATGAAGGCATGCGAACCTAAAAATAAACACTTCTTTTAACATTTATTTTAAAATAAATAAGATACTTTCAAGTAAATACGTTCCATTGTTGTTAAAAAAAATATCAATATGATCGGAGTAAAAAAATTTCTTTCAACATTCATGTTGCATGAAGATTCTAAAAATGATAAAAATTAGATATTTTCTCTGTAAACATATTACTGTGATAAAAAAATTTTCACCAGAAAAAAAAATTCTTTACGTTAATGAAAATTAACATTTATTTTGTTTAAAAGCTCTAAAAATAGCCTGCAACAGATATTTTTTTCGCAAATATTATGTTCAATTTTTAAAAATAATGCCACCGGTTGAAAAAAAATAATTTTTTTAGAATTTTAATTAATAACAGCATTATTTTTATGCAAACAATCTCATAAGATTCAAGAATTGCCAGAAAATGGATACTTTCCCTAAAAATAAAAAGCAGCTTTTAAATAAAAACAAAACCGTACATAATTAAATTTTATTCAGCAAATGCCAAATAAAAAAAAATCATCTTCAAAAATCGGTGAAATTTTTTCCGAGATATTTGTACTAGATCAAGAAATCTGCATTTTTTTTTTCTCTAGAGAATTCGAATCAGAGACTAAAAATAAGATGCTTTATATCGAATTCGCGAATCCCTAAAAAACCACAGCTTTATTACTTAAAACTGAGTATAAACATTGTAATAGCGGAAAAAAAACGCAATTTTTAAACATTAAAATAATAATAATACAAGACTTGAAATATGACAGATTTAGAAAGTATGACGATCACGAATACTATTTCACAGTATGGTTGCTAGCAATATTTTGCGACTTTGAAAATAAAACTATTTTTAATCAAATGTTCAATAAAAAAAACACTTATAAATTTTAATTTTCCGCTCAGTTTTCATTTTAATCTATAGCTGTAATCCATTTTAGCGAAATTGATTTATTCCGTTTTTCTGAACCATTACATGATTTTTTTTTAAAAAAAAGAAAAAAACTAAATCATACTTACTCTGCATTTGCAGCCTTGTTGATAGAGTTTACGGAAACCTTTCTTTTGTTTGGAGGAAAGTGTTGCCCACTCTTGAACGAAATGGCACAAAGAAACAAATGGTTTTTCTCCACGAATTCTACCTGTAAATACACATTAACAAATGGAAAAAAAACGTTATTTCAATTTTACATTTTCAATCATAAATATAATAATATATTGCGTAGCTATGTGCTTCTTTTTAATTTTTACGATTCAGCATTACCCTGTGTTAAATAGAATCACATCCCGATTATAATTTTGATTTTGAATAAATTGCTGAAAGAATTAAAAAATGCAGTTATACTTTTAATTTTAATAATTTTAAAATATAATAATATATTGCGTAGCTATGTGCTTCTTTCTAATTTTCAAGATTCAGCATTACCCTGCGTTAAATAGAGTCACATCCCGATTTTAATTTTGATTTTGAATAAATTGCTGAAATAATTAAAAAATGTAGTTATATTTTTAATTTTAATAATTTTAAAATATAATAATATATCGCGTGGCTATGTGCTTCTTTCTAATTTTTACGATTCAGCATTACCCTGTGTTAAATAGTCACATCCCGATTTTAATTTTGATTTTGAATAAATTGCTGAAATAATTAAAAAAATTTAGTTATATTTTTAATTTTAATAATTTTAAAATATAATAATATATCGCGTGGCTATGTGCTTCTTTTTAATTTTTACGATTCAGCATTACCCTGTGTTAAATAGAGTCACATCCCGATTTTAATTTTGAATAAATTGCTGCAAGAATTAAAAAATGCAGTTATATTTTTAATTTTTATTGTTAACAAAACATAATAAACCATAATCAGTTTTGAAATGAAAATAAATTATGTATTTAATGAGAAAGATTTCCTTCATATGTATGTCTATACTAATCTTGCAATAATGCATTAAAATAATGAGTTATGATTTTCATTGCTATTATTATTCTGAAACTTATACTACTTTATGAAAAGCTAAAAAAGGATCAATACAATGTTTAAATAATAGCGTATAATAAATTACTAAAGAAAAAATGATTTTTAAGAAATGTTTATGCTAGAAAATGTATTTGTTCTAAAAAGATTTAACGTTTGCAACTTTTAGTACGAATACTTCGTCCATTTGTAGGTTTGATTAAAAAACGATGTCAGTGATCTTTAAAGATGTAAAAGTATAGTTTAGGGTATACATAAGACTTTCTAATGTATGTGTATAATTTACATTTTATTTATTGTGGATAAAAAACCATATCAAAATTCAAAGTTTTTTTGGAATGTAATTCATATATTTCGAATTTTTAATGAATTACGAATTTTTAATGAATACATTAATGAATTTTATTGGGATAAAATCAATTAACAAACTTATTTGAACATACAAACAGATAATGGTTGTTAATAGAGATTTATATTGATTGACACATGAATAACTTCCGCATTAAAAGTATGTTAAAAAATTAACGAAACTTATTAATTATTTCGATATGTTATGAATCTGATTTCTATCTTGAATTATGAGGAGGACTCTTCAGTGGAAAAAATGTATTTGATCTCATATAATAGGTCAAATAATTTTATAAGGTAAAGAAATTAGAAAAATAAATGTCACATAATTATAACTCCTCCAAATGAACTTAGCATTCAAACTTATTTTTTCAACACTATAACGACCGCAAATCAATTTTGAGAGCTCTTTAAATAATTATACCAGCTTTCTTGATTTACGTGTTTTTTCCTTCATTTTCAGAGGTCTTCAAAAGCATTAAGGAAGCATTTAATTAGGTTGCATAATAAGTGTTTTACCTAAAATGACGATAGAGGTTAAAATGACCACAATAGAGATTTAAACATGTTTGTTTAAAATAGCTCACTTTTTTTTCAGGAACTATTCGACCGATTTCACTCAAATTTTGTATTTTGCTATGTAGAAGTGCAATCTTTAAAATTATGCAAAAACTGTATACCTTACAATTCAAAATGTTTTAGACTATTAATAAATAAAATAAAGGTAATCTATATTTACTGAAAGTTATTTTTGGATTAAAATCGCCTTTGGATAAATAAATTTTATAATTGTGTCTAAAAATGTTTAAATTCGTCAAAAGAGTTTTATATATATATTGTGAAATACGCGAAAAGTAAAATTAACGGTAAGGAGTCCAAAATTTCGACCGCCCTCCTGTTTAAATAATTGAGACCATATTTCCCAGATTGCGGCTACGGGTAAGAAATCCAAATCCATAAGAAAAAATTATTCAGAGAAAGTAATTTTTGAGTTTGATTTCGTAACTTGAAACATATTCTGCTCTAATTAATTAGCATATTTAAAATCATCACTTTTAACCATTGAGATTCAGTCCTGGATCCTGAAGATCCGATCATTAGATCAAAAGTTATTATGGATGGCCCTTTTTTTCGTGCTCTGCACACTAAAGTGAACAGGAAACTGATGGTTTCATTGTAAGGAAAGAAGTGTCCTATAGAAGTGCCATATAAATCAAAACAATTTCTATCTCCCGACTACTATGTTCGGAATTGTTAATATCATTGGTAACCTACAAACCTCCCTGAAAATCGAAACAATGAAAATAAATCTCCCTAAAAATCCTTCGGGGTATTCATTAAATTAGACAATTGTGAATACCTTTAAGAAAATGACCAATTTGAAATTTTAAAATGTACTAACTGTTCCCGCGCCAAATTAATTAAAAAAAGATCAAGAGATGGCGCTGGGAAGAGTCATGTGTATTAAGTGAAATAGAAATAAAAAAGATGGAGGAAGAGCAAGTCGTGTGTCCTTTATTGTGGTAAAAAACAAAAAAAAGAACCAGCTAAAAAGTTTTTCTGATCGAATATTGTTCACTAACAATAAATTCCTCATTTTTTTTAAGCATTACACTCTTTCATTTTGAACTTATTCAAAAAATTTAAATGAAATATTTAAATATCAATCTTTAAAATATTTCTAGAACATGTCTCGAATATTCTAAATAACTGAATTAGATTATTTTTTACTTAAACATATTCAAATCTTGCTTAATATAAATATTTAAATATTACGTATCTCACATAAATTGCTTGTCGTAGATAAAATATCTCAATTTACAGTGTTAATCTTCAACCTACTCCTTTAAGTGTCATAATTAGCTCATAAAATAACATTTCAACATATCTTTCAACAATCTTTACGAAGATTGAAATCAGCTAGAGCGAAAAAAAAAAAAAGCTGAAGAAGCGACATATAGAATTTATTTACTCTGTTGGCCTTGAAAAAAAAACTATTTTCTCCTTTGTTGCTAATGCCAATAAAACATTCTTTTATGATTTTATAATTTTTTCATTATGTTAAAAGATAAAGATTCATTAAAATTATTTATTCAGTTGAGTGTTTTGATTTTGTTTTCTTTGAATTAAATAAGTTTTCGCATTTGAAAACGAAAAAGTTATTTTATGTAAGTTTTGAAAAAATAACAATCACCATTAAATTGTTAAACGGAAAAATTTTCCACTTCAACAAGTGATAACAAAATGCAGATTACTATTGATTAAAAATAAAAGTAAACAAAAATCGGCATCGCTTTTACAAAATTGTCAAAATTTTAATATCTATTAGCGATATCGATGATGCAGATTAACTGAAATATAGCTGAGTTCGCAGCATCTAAGAAACATTGCAAACACTGCTATATTAAATTGTAATTTGAATTGATGGAATTGTAATTTGGTTTGAAAAGTAAAAAAAAACTTTCAGCAAATTTATGTATAAAGGCTCGTAAAATATTTCAGTGTTAGCATTTATTTTATTTTAAAATTATGATACACCCTTTAAAACCCTTTGTGGTTTCTTGGAATCTTGTTCTACTAAAAAATTGATGAAATAATTGTTTTACAATTTTTACTCTGAGACAAGAAATCAGTTTTATGACACGCTGCCTCATAACGTAATGCAAACAACGCCTTTACCAATTAGCAAATAACATTTTTTTTTATAATAGTTTATATTTATAATAAAAGAGAAATTGTAATGTAATAAAAAAGAAATATATAATTGAATCAATTAACATTTAAAGTTATTTAAAATTGAAGTTAAACGTTATTTCAGCAAAATGACATTTCAAACTCAAAGATGTTGTTACGCCTCAAATTAACTCCAATCCATAATATCCTTGAAACTAATTTTTTTTTTTGTTTCACATTTCATCTTCAAGGCACCTGTCGTGCCGACCGAAAATTATTAAGCATCGATGACGGATTATTTATACTTAGTCCTTATTTTTATGCGTGACTATAGAATGTTGAGTAAGCTTCGGTATGTGTGACTATATAATGTTGAGTAAGCTTCGTGTTTTTTTCTTTCTAAGTTACGGTAGCAGAATTAATTACTCCGCATTCTCCAACGGCTTTAAGCGAAGAATTAAATGACATGGGTTGATATTTAAAAACTTTAATCGCCTATTAAGGTATAGTTAACGCCTTAATTTAAATGCTGTGCTTTTCGTTATAATTTAAATTTCGTGCTAAAATTTTATTTTCCATTTTTTAATAATAAAAAAATACTATTAAAAGATTTCAAAAGTGCACCATTTATAAAATAGTTTTTTTAAATAAGCCTTTCCCTTTTGATTTTTCAAAACAAATAGTATTTAAAGAGAACATATTTTATTAGTGAAAAGGTTACCGGGTTGAGGGGCTTAATTTTACCCCATTTACCTTTCAGTTAAATCGTCTTTTTTCAAAATTTTTTCCTAATAAGGTAAATACAAACTGCAATAGTAAAAGAAGAAGAAAATTAAGTTTTGTTTTAAACTAATAAAATGATGAATATATATTTATTAATACTTGATTAAGTTCATTTATATTTTTGGACCGTTTATATTGTATTTCTTTTAAAGAAGTGACCTATGTGTGCAAATTGTGAAATATGAATAAAAAATCAAAAATTGTTTTTAAGAAAATATGGCATAATGTAGTCACTCTTTGATTTTAATGTAATTCGATTTTCAATGTGAATTCAAATTTTTAACCGAAAGGCAAGCCCACATATCCGGGGGATTCTCGGATTAGCTATATAGCTAGGATTGGATTAAGTGAGAAATGAATAACCGGCAATTTGGTGAAAACAATTTTTTTTTGTAGCAATATAAAGCAACATTTTGGTACTTTTGAATCAATTGGGTGCTAAAATTTTATAATATATAATCGCTTTGAGTAATAATTTTTATCTACCTGGAATTGTATTAAAAAGATTTTTATGTAGTATTAATAGTTTGTCAATAATTAAAAATGTAATTGTTTATAAGTTTTTTCTCTTCTCTTTGGCGACAAAATTTTTTTTTATTTATAGCAACACTAGTGTCAATTATACATTTGCAATTACGTACTAGAAGTATTTTCTACGCGAATTCCACAGTTCGTAAAAACGTAAATCTTAAATCAACATTGATCGTTACGGAATATTTTTTTATAACTCAATCTTTAAAAATTTCACAAAATATTAATTACTCTAATGTTACGTCTGAAGAAAACAGAAAGAGTGAAGTTTATAAATAAATTAATAATTAAAAGTTAATATTATTTGCAGAATAATCATAGCAATTAGTAACTGAGGCTGTTTCAGGTCATAAAAACCAAATTATTAGATGATGCGGATATGTGTATGTCACTACGATTATTTTAATATTTTGTATTTAAATAAATTAACGGCAACTAATTTAAAAATTCTGTTTTGACACTATAGAAACTAGCAATGTACTAAAAATAGTATAATACAAAAACTTTAAAACACTCTTTGCCACAGTGCACAAACTACGCTTCAGTCAGTTATATTTAATTTATAAAAAGAAAACCAAAATATAACACTTAATAGGCTAATAAATGTAATTAACATATACTTAAAAATAATGAAGGGTAAAAAGGTTAAAAAAAAATCATGGAAATATAATTATTTGTCGGGCAAATTTCCTTTGATATTTCGGTACAGCATTATTTGTTAATGCATCATCAAATTTTGTTATTAAAAATGTCAACCATACAAAAATAACATAAAATGACCTTTCCTTGACTAGCGTATTTGCACTGTTATTTGAGAAATTGTGCGAAATTTGCACTTAATGCTATATTTTTACGAGAAAAGTAATCTTATACCAAGGTAATTTTTATCTAATAATTAGTAATATTAGAGAAAGAAAGATTATTAAAGAATTGAAAAAAAAGGAGTGGCAAAATTACAGAAGGACGGCGTTCATTAATAAGTTATCCTTGAGCCAAACGCACCCATTTTTTACTGCTTTGTTTCGAAAAATTAGCACTGATCTTTATTAATTGTTTGAACTAACCTAAACGAAATTGAGGTAGCGATATATTGCTATGTATAATTAAGTTAACATTTGAAATTATAATACAATTTGAAAAGATCGATTAACTTTCTCGTTCTTGATGTTAGGAGTGGGATTTGTGTTCCGCAACTTTATTATAGGTAAACATTTGAGAGTGAGTTAATGACGAATAAAATTTGAATAATAAATTTTTTTTTACACGTCTTTGAAGGGTGCTCGCTCCGCGAAAGTAATTTCATAACGTAATTTTACTAAATTTTAAAGTTAACTCTTACTGTATTTGCTAGTTAATAAAAATATATCTAATTTTATGCTGCTTTTCCTTTTATCTGAATTATTTTAAAAGTTGTAGTTGTTGTTGTTAATCATGCTACTTGCCAAGACCAGCAAGCCTGTTTGAAAACAAACTAATTTTTAGGGTAGAGGGTGACCTAAACCAGAGAACGATCACTCCAATTCAGTACCCACAGAGGAATTGATTTGTTATGAGGACTTTGTCACCCCGACCGATTTAAAGTGCACCAGTCGCCAATTAATACTTTGGCCGACGGGATTCAAACTCAAGTTCTCACCAACACGAGTACAACATCCTACCACCCAGGCTATTTAACCCCTTATTTTAAAAGTATTTCATGAATGAATATTGTCAGAGTCATCATTTCATGTTTATTTTAACGTATTAGCTTAACTTGAGTGCGTGATCGTCATTGAAATGAATTCATACATTTTAATCAATTTAAAAAAAAATAAAAATTATCAGCTATTCATTGATTATTTAAAAAAAATATTAAATGAATTTAAGTTAGATAACTTTTTAGTTACGAGTTTATTCGATATATAAGCTAAAAAGGGTCAAACAAAGATTTTAAGTCATAAAAGCTAGAAAAAAAACTTCTAAGGTCAAGAAAGAAAGAAATTTTAACAATTGAAATTGATTTCTGATACCTGGAAATACTTTAAAAATAATTACTAATGATAGAAAAATATATTTTGCGCCTATCTCGTTTATTTTTTACGTACCGAAAAAAAGGTTAATAAAATATACATCAGTAATAATGAAATTTCTAATTTAACAAAATAAAACATTTGCTAAAAAAAGTATGGTAAAATGAAATTCAACAATTACCTGCTATAAGATATCTTGTAGGTTTCAGAGTAACACCGCAAGCAGCTTCATGACTACTTGTCCAAATTAAACCTTGGCTTAATGCGTGGCGAGCTTTCTCACTCATCTAATAGAAATACAAGACATTCAATAATAGAATATTTAATCTATCTAAAACAAATACAAGACATTCAATAATAGAATATTTAATCAATCTAATAGAAATACAAGACGTTTAATAATAGAATATTTAATCAATCTAATAGAAATACAAGACATTCAATAATAGAATATTTAATCAAAAATATTTCTTACAAGTTGTAAAATTGAAAACTAATGGGGAATAAGCAAGATTAAGGAAAGAAAACATTTTCAAAGAGTAGTAAAGATTAAAATAAGGTAAACTCTAATTCACTGTAAATAAAGTTAGTGATAACAATTACTCTTTATAAGGTCATTTTTTTTCTAAGAATGATGCTTCAAAATATGTTTAGGATAGATTTATAAAAACAAATTATTACATAAAATTAATTTGATTTTTAGGACCATTTTTTTCGTGGGAATGTTAGTGATATTTTTAAAACTTTACTTCCTGCAAAAACATTAGCAATTAACTTGAACTTCAGTGCTTTTAAAAAACCGTACTTATAAATTCCGTGAAGAATAATTATCTCGATGAAAAGTAATCAAATGAACGAACGCATAGCGCATACAAAAGAAAATAGCTCCCTAATCTTAATCCCAAACAACATTTACTGTAACCCAAATTTTTGTAACAAAACCCTTCGTTTTTTATTTTTATTTTTTATATTATCGTCAGCAGATGGTCGCTGCACGAATCATAAGCGTCACATCGATATTTAAAAAAATAATGGAATTGTTGGGCTTCCCATGGCCTTATAAAGGGTTAGTTTCGTTATGTTATCGAAAGCTTTCGCGTTGCACGTGGATTAATTATAGGAAAAATAATAAATAGCGAATTCATTATTCTTGTAATGTTGGTTATGCATAAGGCACAATAATTGTTTAAAATAATGCTACGTGCATTTATATGAGTTTTTTTATCCTTAAAAATCTTTTACTGTTTGGGGATTACATTAAATTGATACTGAGTATCAAAAGAGATAACAATATTTATGTTGCACACATCCGAGTTTTTTCAGATTTAACGATTGTTCGAAAGAAAAAAAATATTATATGTCAAATAAGGTCTTCTGACTAAATTTCAGATTTCTAGCTAAATCTTTTTATTTTTAAAATGGCAAAATGAATTAAGTTTTTTTTTGGTAAAAATTTACCTTGGGGACCTCAGATATTGCAGAATTATAGAACGCAATAATAATGATATACGCTTATAGATACATATATGATTTTCAATTATGGACAATGTTTACTGCAATTAAATATTGATTTGATCATTATTTAATAATGAGTTTACTTTATTTCCAACATTTTTTAAACTTTCACAGTATATATTCACTAGTTTAATATTGTTGTTACAGGTTTACAAAAAAGGATTTAAAATTCTCTTTTATGGTTTAATCCTAAGTTTTTTATTTTTAAAACCATTTTGCCTTCTGCTCTTTTTAGCTTTCACTTTTCGCTAAGAATAGAATCATCAATATTATTTACACGTTAAAAATAAAAAGAGAAAAAAAAAGGCTATTTCTCAGTGTTAAGCTTATATTCTTTGCTGATCTCCCCGGCACTAAAAGAAAAATGGCTCCGTTCCCCTGTTGTCGAGTTCCGGTCGTAAATTTTCTTAATACTTAGGCTTTTAAACTCAGAATTTATTTAAAAATATTTTATTATCGCGTGTGATAAGCTCGTAACTCCATCAAACAAAAATATTTACCATTAGTACTTAAGAAAAGCTATTTTTGAAAAGATGAAGTATTTTTTTTTATTCAGGCGAAAAGATAAACAAAAAAGAAATATATATTTTACCTCTGACAGTGTAACTATACTTTCAATATACAAAACATTTAAAATAACCACTAGTTTTAATAAATAGGAAAAGCACACTTTTATTAACTTAAACATAGAAAAACAAATATATCTATTTACATATTATAGGGCACAGACCTATATGCAATATCTTTAAGAAAATTCTAGAAACTAGATAACTACAAGATCCTAAAATCCAAGTTAGGTTAAAATCGTTTCAAACAGAGAACATAGAGTTAAAATCCGAAGTAATTTTAGTAATTATATTTTTTCAAACCGTGGTGTTCCTCAAGGATCTATTCTAGGACCCTTATTGTTTATTATATTCATCAATGACTTTTGTCAACTCAAACTTTTTGGTAAGATAATAACGTATGCTGATGATTCCGTAATTTTGTATTCTTGCACTGATTTAAATCAACTAATTTTTCAAATTCAATCTGATTTACGCATAATTTCAAAATGGTTTACAATAAATGACTTAAATTTAAATCTAAATAAAACTAAATATATTTATTTCAGTTTAAGAAAATCAGAATTTAACTTAAATTTAAAATTTCACTCTCTCTCCTGCAAAAGTACTAATGAAAATTGTCAATGCTATATTCTACAATCTGTAAATAATATCAAATATTTAGGACTATATATCGATTCTAATTTAAAATGGAAAACACATATTAACAATTTAGTTAAAAAATTGCGTTTCGTTTTAGTTAAATTTTATCACCTTAAGAATAAAATTCATTTTAATTTTGTGAAAGCACTCTATTACTCCTGGTTTTATTCTTTAATTAATTATGGTGCGATAATATATGGCGGTGAATATAAAACTAATTTACTTCCCTTAATCTCAGTTCAGAATAAATGCTTCAAGATTATTAATTCTCTAAATATAAATAATTCAAGTGTAACTACTACCAATATATATACAAGAATTAACCTATTACCATTTCGCCATAATGTATTTTTTCGTATTTTACTCTATTTACACAACAATAAATTAATATGCAAATTAAAAACTAATGTGTCTGAAAGGAGACCAACTGAAATGTATGAGATTCCCTTCTTTACAAAAGAAATTTCACGAAAACAGTTTTTTTACTTAGCACCTAAATTATATAATAAATTACCATTTCAGTTGCAAAACATCAAAATATATTCTTCTTTTAAGCGTGCTTTATTTCAATTTGTGATGAACATTGACGATTTAGATCTCTATTTTTCACTTTAAAGGAAGCATTTGATTTTTTATACCAGTCTTGTGCCAATCCAAATGAATTTATGTTACCTTTGTTATTTTTTTTTT